ACCGCTCGAGGTCAAAATCAGTTGACATCATCAGGAGATGACGGGACGTAGAAATCTCACATATGGAATTCAGAATTACAAACTTTAGCTCCTTTAAACTGTAAAATAATTTGATTAATCTTTTGGAGACTAAATTTATAAGCGAGGGACAGCTGATAAAATAATGACTGGTATTTTTCTCTTTTCCAGCCTATATTAGGCCTATTAGCTATTGTCCACGTGTAAAAAAAAAAAATAAAAGTAGTCCAAGTTTATGTGATGAAAGAGAAACATATATTATGTATACTGCATACGAACACAGCTGAGTAAGCTGAGGGGGTTTAGCTACCTCATAGCTACCATAGCTGCAGCTATGATTAATTTAAGATAAATTGTATTCTATAAAGTGAAACAACTTGTTAATACGTAACTTCTCATTTAAAAGCCAAACTGTTCTCGCATAATAATAGAAGTCAATCAAAGAACTGTTTCCTGTATCTATAATTGCTGTTTCGCTCGACATGCTTTAAACAAAATGATATAAAATTTACTTTCTCACAATAAAAAATAATCATTTTAATAAAGTAAAATATAACAAAGCCAATTTATGCAATATCATATTTTATAATTAGAAAAAAATTTTTAATTTTATATAAATATATTCGTGTACTTCTTCGAATCATTTTTAATAAGAACTCGTGCATTTTTTATGTTTACTTTCTCGAATGCAACAATTAGTGTAATTATAACAAAATTAATTAATGTAAGATACGTAACGTTGCGTTTATTGTAAAAATCATAACATTAACAGCGTAATCTTCTTCATAATGTTACGTAAATTATGCAACGTTAAATGAGACACGTATTGGATAAGCAGATAAATAAAGAAAAATGATAGTAGAATATTATAAAATATTCAAAATTTTATACCGTATACGGAAATAATATGGGTATTATTTATCTTCTGTTTTCACTTAAACTAGAAAATATTTATTCTTTACGCGAATTCACATTTTTCTACAAGTTTAAATTAGATAAAGTATATGATATTTAATTGTATATGTGAGTTTTTACAATGCGTGCACCAGATATTCGGTTAACGCCCAGTTTTTAGAAGTGCATTCTTTTATCTTGGAAGAATACTATTTACTTGATTCATATCTATAACATTAATTACAGGGATTCCCAACCAGAAAAATCTTTGTTGATCGTTATCATTATTTATTTAATCTCGTATAGGAAATATATTTAAAAGAACGATAAAATTGCAGAAAATTTGAGTTAAATATCGAATTTTTGGCTGGAGGAAACCGCGTAAAAAGTTTCTTTTATGTCTGACTACCGTTGGGTAACTATAAACAATAATTATTATATTCATGATTCCTCATAGATAACAAACCAAGAATATCCAGAAAGTTTATTTTAAAATTCTGTCGTGCAAAAAATGGGATATTGCCATGCGATAATATCTAATCAAATTTTGCGTGCATAATGCAAGCAAATTATAATCTAACTTCACGAAATGTGATTATAATATAATAGAAAACTTAAATCTAATTTCGTTACATATTGAATATTATATATCATAAACAGATTATCTGATAATTGTCTTTAAAAATCATTATAAAATCGAAATTTTCCAATTATTATTTTTTCTATCTTCGCTAGAAAATTATTATTATTATTATTGCCATTTAAATTACGTTTTATAATATTTATGAAATTTAAAATAATAATGCTATTGTTTAACAGTCTAAATACGTATAAACTATTTTAATTTTTGTCTAACGAGACACAATTTATAACTTTGTATATATTTAGTATATATTTTCTTAAAAAGTGCAATTGAAAACGTTATCATGATGCTTAAATCAGTTGAATAATCGCAATAATCTCTCGGTTAGCATCATTTTTTCGCAAATAAATGTTGTTTTTAGCTATTTTTGTTTTCCTTAATTATAGGAAATAGCTTACACTATTACTATAATTTTAAGAAAAGCATTATCATCATCTCCACTTTCTTTGTAATTACAAAGTAGAAAGTTTACCCACTCAAAAACCTACACTTTTGCTTCTAAATATTTAGTTTTGTTTATAATTGCACAATTATTTAAAAAAGGAAATAAAACGAAAACGTTATGAAAACAAAGTTTATAATCTTTACAAATGAGAGATCATTTTTTAAAATTTGTTTATTGAAATATATATATATATATATAAAGTTGATAATTNTATTATTTTTTCTATCTTTGCTAGAAAATTATTATTATAAAGTACATTTTAAAATTATGGAAATACAGTAAATGCTTATTTTGAGTTTTATATAGAAATTCTATTAATTATTGTCGTAACGGTAAATAATTAAAACTGTTTAATTGTAAAATACAAATATTTATCTTCTCTGTTGTTAGCCTTTGCTAATGGTTTAAAACAAATAAGATTAATTAGACTATGCTAAATTTGACCATTGCCAATTTTTCTTAGACTGTAACTTTAGGCAAACTTTTTGTACAATTTTAATGCTTTTCTATCAAATTAAAAGTTAAAATTATACAAATTACTACATAAAAATTTTTATTTGTACATAATTTCATAAACAAAGCTCATTTTCTAATGCATTTTATCATTAAGATTTAAAAATACTGTAAAAATATTCAGACATAAGAATATTAGAAATTACGAAATATTGCTTCGGAGAGGGGAAAAAATCTTTTGCTTATCAGTTTGTAGTAATTTCTCTGCTAATTATTATTATAATAACACGAAATTCTTTTAATTCTTCTGAAACTGTCGCAAATGTAAGGGCAGACAAATTTCAATTATAACAAGCATGTTCTTAACTTGTAATTAACTTTTCAAATGTAGGAATGACTACATTAGAAAATTATTCTTAATGTCAAGATCAAAATGAATGTTGTCACCCTGGAGATATTTACTAGCATGCAACTGCAAAAGACAAAATCTCTTATATCCGTAAACATTGACAGAAAGTATTATCTTCATGTAAATATTTCAACATTATAGGATTTATTGAGCAAACGCTTCCAAACACGCCTTAAACGGACAGATAAACAAGTATTAAAACATTATTGTTCGAATTGGCACCGTGCACATGTGTAGGAGGGAATGAAAAAAGAATTTTTACCATCCAAGACATTGGTAAGGATTTACTTTTATGGTGCCGAAGTGCATCGACTTGGACTATACTTTCTTTACGACGTTTATTAAATACGAAAGAAGATTCCTATTCTCTGTTGAGGTATCTTTATTTGTCGTTGAGACGAGTATCGAACAAAGCCAACAATAAATTACATAGACAAGTGACGGTATTCGGTTAGTCACATTCTTCATAAAACAGAAGCAATAAGACATGAAACAACAAATGCCCCCAAGCTCGCTTCTCTTGTCATATAAAACAAATTCGTAAGAATGTATCTCTTGGATTTAATGGCAGATTCAATTGATTCAGAAAGTAAAAGTACCTAGTCGATTTATGGAAGAACTTTCTGACATAACTGGAAGGAATAAAAGTTATATACGAACTTTATGCAAATTCCTATTCATTATTTTGATTTACAATAAAAGTTATTAAGCTTTCTGTGTAGGAAGAATTGTTCAAGAGAAAAAGAAGGATAAAGGAAAAGAATTAGAAATCGAGCACAGATTTATATATCAGAACGACTGGTCCATTAAATAAATGTAGAGTCAGGAACAAAATTATATTTATAGTTCATGTAAATCTGATTCGATGCAGAAATGTTAATGATAGATTTCATATAAATTATGCAAATTACTAAATTAAACAATAAAAATTAAATTAATGAAATATTTATTTTAATAGATCTCCAGACATTCTTTATGTCTCAGGCTAATAATAACAACAATATTTTATTCCATTTTTAATTTTACTTCGCCTATTTTTTTTTTTTTTGTTTTTGCGTTGTAAAATTGTTCACTCTCTTTAAGTTAATGTTTAATATTACGTAACATTCAGGAAGTCAAATTTTGGCAAAGGTCCATAAAAGAACAACATTTATCGATATTGGAAATTTGAAAATCCCAATTCGCTCTCATGAATATTTGTAAAAATTATCAATTAAATAAAATTAATTTTACTTTTTAAAATGCAAATTTTACATTTAAAAAAAAACATTTATATTTTTCACAATATAAGTTATATTAGTCTAGTGTTTTATTTCAACGTCTAACATGAGTTGAATCAGAACATTAGAAACATTCCTGTCATTTGTTAGTGCATTTGTCATTTATAGGATCGATGATTCTGAAGTCATCCGTGATTGATTAGGACAATGTTATCAATAGACAGATGTTGCAAGGTGTTCTAGATAAGTGTTATTATTATTTTTTTTTTATTTTAACGTTTACGGCTAAAATCGAATAAAATTGATTTATAGAATTACTTTGTTGTATATAATATAGATAATAAAAATAATTTTATAAATGATATATTAACAATTTTAATCTATTAAAAATATCGAATGTATGCAGACAAAATATCCAATCTGATCGCATATATTAAATTTTAAAAAATATTTTAAAAATATATATATTTTTTATAATGTTGCGCAAAGGTTAAATTTTATTTACTGATGCTTTATTATATTTAAATTTATTTGATTTATAAATAAAAATAAAATTTAAGATATCGTAAACAAATATGAGTGAAGGAGGAGTTTAAAAAAAAAATAGAAACATTTTATTTAAATCCAAAGCTGATGATTTTATTCAAGAATTTCTTTGAGTTCGAAAATTTCCAACGTCGTAAATGTATTCATATTATTGATTTTCCTAGGCCCGAATAATATTTTTATTGTAAGAAATGGAGACGGGTCTGAGGGGATTATAGTTGTCCAAGTAATCGATGTATGGTAATTTTTATCCAATGAATTTATTCTAGAAACGATTTTTTGCTTCGTCTGCATCTATTATATTAAAGGTTTTGAATTGGCAGAGTTACCTTAACTTTCTGCACACAACAAGAAGCATAGGAGGAGAGTTACCTTCGGATTTCCACCTTAAGATGGTCGATAACTTCACGTCCGTAGAAGTATGTTCACTAGTACATCTTACCATGATCTGATTAGCGAGACGAGTTTTCTTTACTCTTCTTATTTCAGTTTCTGTAAGTCAAGAGTCCGATCTATAATAACGTATAGTGAAAAGGAATCAATAATATTACATTCAGCTATATTAGAAATTAACTGTATGATTTCAACAGCAATTTTAGTTTCGACTCATTAAAATTAACTAATGAATTTTGCATAAAGTCTCTGTTCGGAAATTCATTAAAACTAGATAAATTACTTTATTCTAATTTTTTTATCGTATAAATGCAAATAAAATTCTTAATTTTACATTGTGTTTTTCTTTTTTAAAGTTCGTTAAACAATATTTATCTAGAGATCGATTATTTTGAAAGCTAATGATCCTATGGGTCTTTAACACCGTAAGAATTCAAGAATCTGTTAATGCAGCTAATTTTGAACGTGATTGGTTTTTTCTAATATGCGTGATAAATATATACATAAAAATAGTGTTAGCATAAAAAGAAATGATTTATTCTGATTGAAACTTATCTGATAACGACAAAGCATTTAATCTTTCGAAGTAATACATAAGTATACCTTACGATACATCAGATAACAGAGAGTATGAAGCTGATAGTGTAGAAAATAATTTTGATATAATTCTAGTATATTTTTTATTAGACTATTTATTTGATGCTATATATTAATTTAATTAAAATATTTTAACGAAGTTGTGTAAAAATTTTATATAAGACATATTCTTGTCAATCATTAAAATATGTATTCATTCACATATATAAACTTTAATAAAATGTAAACAAAAGACATTCTGTGAATAAATTAAGATGTTACAGACTAAATTTGAATCTTAAACTAAAGCTAGATTAAATAAAGAAGTTTCGATCATTTATGTTAATGAATATCCGTCATATGAATGAATAATACAATATAAGGAGCTATTTTTGACCATTTATAAATCCCTCGAGTTTTGTATATTAGACGGCATTAGCATTCTGTTTCATTAAGAATACTGCTTAATGATTATAGGCATGTTTCCCTATAGTGAATTAAATTTAATTTAAATCTCTCACTCACAAAACGCTACAACGTAGATTCAGGATTAGTTTCTGTTTAAGAAATTAAAATCCTTCTCAGTATAAAATTTTAACACGAACAGAGAATGAATTATTGCAGAAGAGAAAGAATAGTTCAGAAAAGCATAAGGTATAGCCACTGAAAATAATTGCATCGGATCAGCAATCAATTTTGTAACAATTTCCGCATGGAAAATTTCACTCAAATTGGCTCTTAGATTTAAAAAAAAAATTCGAGAAGATATACTAAAAAATGCATTCTCTACATTCTTAACGATATTATATAAAAATTTAAGGATAGATATTGGAAGTTGAAATAAGTGTTCATCGTTTAAGAAAATAAAATCATAAACAGATACTGTGTATCTGTAAATATAGTATCTACAAAACAGAAAATATAATTTAACGGCTATGTAATATAACGAAAAATATACAAAATATATTTATTTTTCTGTTGATAATATCTAGTAGGCTAATGTGTTTCACTTTCTAAGTTTCTCACGTCAATATTCAGAATTATATTATCTGTGAAGACAGTGTATACACATTTAAACAGTCGTTAAACTTATTTAATATGAAAATTACCGTTTGAATTGGGTTTTTGGCTGGTTTATTAGTTCATATTTCATAAAAATTGCGAAAAAACAGATTTAATACTACTACAGTAATATCTCATTATGTTATCGATTTTTCGGATGTAGAAATTTAATATTAGTAAAGTTTTGTATGATTACGGACGTTTAAGATAAAAATAGGATAATCACTCATAAAATTTAACGGAAAAACGTAATATATAAACATTAAAATGAATATTTACAATTTTATGTTATAAATAAATAGGCACATTGTATTTGATCATGAATTATATACTGTTTACAAAATTGAAAGAATATAAATCTGAATGAAATCTAAATATCCAAAAATATGTTTCGTTTAGTTAAGAATTCCAACGCAACTTATTCGATAGAATTTTTCAAAGATAAAACTTGCTCAAAACAAAAAGGAGAAATGACATGAATATAAATATATTTATTTTTGCGCGTATATATAACTCACGAAAAAATTGAATTTTTATATTTACATAAGGTGAAAATATAAAAAAATGTTGAATACATACAATGAAAAATATCTTAAAAATGTATACGTAATAATTATATATTATAAATATAAATATTGTATAAAATATATACCTAAACATTTTATAAAAATGTATTTTTTTTCTGATAGTATCGATCCTCGATTCTATATATTTAATGTCTTTAGAATAATAATGATAGATCTTTGTGCCTATTTATAATATGTCAAATGTTTCAAGAAAACTTTATAAACAGTTTCGGTTACAATAGGCACAATAGTATAAGTTTCTAACAAGTTGCACGCATATTGATGATGCCCTTGAATTTATGTATTGTTTGACTGGCATTGTATGCTAGCAATGCACACAAGTTTACAATAAACCTTTTTTTAAATCCACAGATCAATATATGTATTTATTTTCTATTTTTTAACCTGGTAAAATTTGAAATAAATAAATATATTGATATATGCTTTATAATAAAGGTTATATAAATATTAGAATTTTATTTAACTCTCTATATAATTTAAATATTTATGTAGCCTTTAATAAAAGACATAGTCTCTTTCTGGATTTTTATATAGAATGTTCGGAAACCACATTTATTATTATAAATATTTATATGTATACTCCTACTATAGCAAGATATTTTATTCAGATTACACGAATCCAGTTTCTTCGCCTGCTATAATCAGTTATTGCACTTTAATAAAGTGGGAAAGACTGACCACAATAGCGATAAAAGACTAGGGTAACAATACATTTAAACTTAATGCTTTCAACATTGCTACACTTTCATTCTATTTTTATTTGATTTAGCTGGACAGAGTTTCTGTTGATTAGTTCCAAGGCTGTAAGAAAAACGATAAAAAATCACCAATCCCACGGACATGTCCTTTCATCATTAGATCCTGCGTGACCATTCTAGTTTCTTGTGAACCAATCATCCCGTATGAACGTCAATAAAAATAAACGTTTGCACCTTGTACAGTAGACTCTTTGCACTCGTATCTAGAGATTGCTTCAGAAATTGGCATCTTTAAGAGCACCATTGGACGATATGTCGTCTGCCATAATTTATTGACAGAGTATAGGGTTAGTATTGTTGCTTGTGTTCTGTTACCATTTCGGGAGATAAGTTACTCCTATTGATCCACAGAAAGAATATATCGACTAGAAAGTTTTTGTTTGATACTATACTTTGAAAATATTGATTTCACTATGAAAGGTATATCATGGCTGGTGATATTGCATTGTGAAACTTCGTATAAGCAGAAAAAAAGAAACTGGAACATTGCTTAATATCGGTTTTTCTTTATTTTGAGAGTTTTACATAAAAAGAATCTGTGTATGCTTGCGTTTTTGTTTATTAATTGTCTAAAATAAATGATAAATCATTAGTAAGATAATTCTTACAATATTCTATCTTTTATTTTATAAAAGAAAATATTATTATTATTACAAGTTATATCGTTTAAATAATTAAATAAAATAAGAAATAACATATAAAATGACAAGAATATTTGGTAAATAATATTATTAATGTATATAATTTATTTAATTTTATATATTATCTAAAATAATAATTTTTTAAATAATAAATATACTAAATTTTAAGTTTTAAATAACTACCATTTTTTTTATTAAATAAAACGAGGAAAAAATAGGTCGATGAAATAAATATAAGGACGAAAGATTGAATTTAAAAAATTCGAAAAATATAAAATAAAAACTCGGAATAAATCCGTTTAGTATGTTCGATTTGATAATACCAAAATATCCATTTTATTCTAAAACTAGATCTGAAAATATTCCACAAACACATTCATAATGTGTTTGCAAAATATTAACAATCGTCTTTCTAAGTGTGAACTATCATTTAGAGATTTCTGTATCGTCTCTATGGATTTCCAGCTATTTTAGGAATCTCTAGAGATTTGAATGATGTAGTATGCAGATATTGTCCAGTCTATTATTCAAACTCGCTTCTGAATTTGTTTTACTCTAGAAAATGGAATTTTCTGTAGCGCAGTTACTATTTTTAAACGATACAGTATGTCTGAATTATTGAGATTTAAATTTTATTCGCTTTAATATTTACTAAATATGTCATAAAATAATAGATTTAAACGTATTTTCCTAATTATTCTTTATCGTTTATACAACTAATTGTTCTCTAGTTACACTTAATGATTGCATCTCTCTCCACTTAATTATTCTAAGGTTTCTTTACAACTAATAATTACTTGGTACTGTACAGTACCTAACTAATTGTTCTATAATTAGGAGAATGAACTGATATTTTTTATGCTATGTTAACTATATAATATCGCATAGTGAATATCAAAACGTTAATCTTTCTTTATTAAAATAAATTTGGAAAATTGATGAATGCGACTAGCTTTAATGCAATCAATCATTGTGACGAGTACAGCTACTATCTGATGGAATGCTATCTTTTTTCATTTTCCAATACATAGATTAAGAATTCGATTACATTTAAAATATGGAAGAAAACTTTACTTGATTATAAAACATAGTCACGATTTTCAATAACATTATGCCTATCCCATCAAAACAGTCTTTATACAAGAGACATTGATAAATATCGTTTAAATAAGTTATTTTTAGTAATATATTTAGAAAAAAACTATGTTAATAAAGCATTCCATTTTATGAAATATATTGGTAACCTCATATTTTCTACGTCTATTAAATTCATTTTCAATAATAATTTCTATTTAAAAAAACATTATTTTTTTTAAAACTTTATTCACATTAAGTCCTATATTAATATATTTAAATGCATTTGTTATTCAATAAACTTCTCAATTTTTAAGTAAATTTTAAACTTTCTCAAATTTAAATTTGCAATAAAAATTAAAAATTTTAAATAAACTTTATAATATCTATTTATAAATATT